CGAGAAACCAAAAGCAACTTGCACCAAATAATCTTGGTCTCGCCAATTGTCAACTGCTGAGAAGCCAGATCTTCCAAACTGATAGAAGACGACAGGTGCTTCGTCTACCAAGGCCAAAAAGCTGGGGTAGTCTGCTCCGCCAAAGCAGACCGAAAATAGATAAGCCTTTGTGTTTCCCTACACCTTTGCTTTTCTTTATTCTTGTTCCTCACCGATTTCCTTCAATTTTTAGCTAGTTTTCCACGCAAAGCTCCTACTCTCACGAAAGCCTGTCCAAAAGCAAGCACAAATCTTTTTCTCGGGGTACTGTACGTTGCTTTCGCCTGTGCTAGGGCGCTATGTCCAACGCCTGAATGACATGCAATGACCAGCTCTTGGGCCATTGCTCCTGCACCCGTTGCATGCATGACCTGTTTGTCAGGAAAAGTCAACGCTTCAGTCCAAGTTGGAATTGTCCTTGTGCGAACCCATACTCTATCATTGATGCAAGTTCATACCACAACGAACCAACTGTACTGATTTTGTGATAGATGTGAAACTTTTATAGGCTACAGCACGCCCACATTCATGTTTTCAATGGATTTCGACTGCCTCAGCCAACAAAGCAACAAACAAACCCTCATGAGAGCCAACATTTGTTGTCAAGCCATAGCAGGTTGCTTGCTGAGAAAGCTGAGGGACACACTCACGATGATGACGGTATCGTGAAGCCATAGCAGTCTGACCTCAATGCAGGGGCAAACTCAGACGCGGCAAAACAAATTACATCAGAAGTTGGAAACAATGACATCAATTTGAATCCACGCATGGTCGAAAGCTGCTCAAAACAAAACATCAAGTGCCGGGCTCGGACGTGTCCCGAAGGCTTTCCGACATCTTTTCTTCCTTAATCCAACTTCCATCCTGCAAGTCCATGAGAAGCAAGGTGCGACAAGTTGAGGCTCTGCTTTGAAAGGTGCCATCTTGGCACAAACAACGGCTCCTGCTGTTGAATGTATATGTCAATCTCATCCGCATCGCATTGGACTTTGTTT